TGCAGGCCAGGCTGCAGGTGAAACCAGCAGATGAACACTCCGAAGCTCAGTTTGTCCAGGTGAGAGACACATTCTCTATCACTGCTTTGCAGACATAAACCAATCAGCATTAGAGTGCTAGCAATACTGATAATATGCTTAAAAAAGTTGTCAATATAAAACAAAGACATTAAGTAAATATTGACAAAATTAATATCAATTACTAGTTCAGAAATACAAAGTAATGTATATATTGATTCACGGATGTGTGTGTCGGACCTTTTCTTATTTTGACTTTATATGTGTTGCACATGATGCAACATCTTGGAGAAATGACATAATTTTTACTGTATTTAACATTTCTGCTTTTATCTGTACTCTCAGATTGAAAGAGGGATGGTGATCTACATCTGCTTCTTCAAAGGAGCCACAGATGACATCCTACCCAAGATGGGTCAGTGAATTTTTTACTTTTTTCTTTGATCTAAATAGTGAACGCCTGCTTCCCTGTGAATCCCTCCACAGATGATAAAAAAGTTGTGTCCTCGCTCTGTCCAGTGTCCACGCTGTTGAACCTGCGGCTGAGCGAGTCGGATTCTGGGAAGATGGTGTCAGTGTTGGACCTTCCCGGGAATTTGCTGATTGTCCCTCAGGCCACGCTGGGAGGAAAGGCCAAAGGTAGAGGCATGCAGTACCACAACAACATCAGCAAGGAGGATGGGCTGCGGCTGTACAGCGCATTCGTTGCTCTGTGTGAGAAGGAGCTGAATGCTGCTGTAGCTGAGAGCAGCGCTGAAGTGACAGTAAAACACGGGACCTATGGTAACAGACAAGTGCTGAAGCTTGACACCAATGGACCATACACGCATCTGATGGAGTTCTGAAGCTGAGCTCACCATCTCAGAGACAAGATGTCATACTATTGTGTCTACCAATGCAGCTAGAAAGACTGATGTACTCGTATCTGAGTTGTGCATCTTTCAATATAAACAAAATAAAAGAGATTTAGAATTTCAGTTGTTTGTGTAATCGGCCAAAACTGGATTGTGTATGAAGGCTTTCTGATACTGTGGGACACTACCAGTCTCTACAAACACATGAAAAACTGAAAAATGAAGAGAGAAGGATGGAAATCCCTCAGCCAGACAGAGTGCTGTATTGTTTTTATTTATTGTTTAGTTAGACTGGGAGGTGCTGCTGGCACTCTTTTAGTCATGCCTTGGAATAATTGTTTTGCCTAACTGAACAATTCGCCATGCATGTTGTTTTTCAGTGAGGCTTAAAAATGCTCTCAAAACAATCTATGCCACATGCTTTAGTGATGATTCTCTTATATTCAAGTTTTATTTATATTTCTTCAGCTTCTTCATATGATAGTATTGTGTGCCTTGTTAATTCTTTTAACAATCACTGCTTTGCCAAACTCAATCAAGTCACTCAAAAATTGTTTCTCATTCACTGTGGATAAACAATCTCATGGGCTACGAAACACCCATCAAACAACTGAATGACTGTGATTCTATGGGTTTTGTGGTCCATCATAAATATTTCCATAAACCCTTTTGATTCTTATAATGAATAAATTGTAATAATTATTGGATACTAATAAGAGCATTACTTTCATTATTGTTCTTTCCTCCATCTCAGCATGCTGTGTTACTGTCTGATGATCACTGGAATGCATTACTCAGTCACTTTGTAAACAAAGGGATGCACTTGAGATCCCAAATCTCTCTAACTTCCATCCTACTTTTAAAATACCTCCTAACTTTAATGTGTGTAAACTTGATGTTATATTGCTACTCTAGCACTTCATTTTCTTGGTTATATTCCCTTATTAATTCACATAAAAGAAACAAATATAATAGCAAATATAAAAAAACAAAAGTAATAAACAATAATATACCAATAAAATAATCATACATGTTTAAATAAAATTACATATTTGTGTATATTTACTTGCAGGTATTTGCACAGCTGTTGCATTCAGATTGATGTGGTTCTGGCAAAATTTAAACATGATAATTACCCAGCTGCAGGACAACAGGACAAATGTGTACAATTCTAGGAACTATAACTCACAGACAGTAATCATGTAGCTATATAATGAAATCATTAATACAATCTTGTTAAACAGTTTTTATACACTTTGTGCACACAAATATGTGCCATACAACATAAGATGTGAAACTTGTTGTACCATAACCATCTCACTATAGATGTAAGTAAGCTGGACTGCTGAAAAATCAATACAATTTACCTCGTTCACCCATTCACGCTCACTCATAGAAGCACTTTTTGCTTTGCTTTTCCATTTTCCAACAGTTGTGATCATAATATAAAATAAGTGTAGACTTATCTTTTTATAATGAGAGTTTACAGCACATGCTGTTTCGCTCTCTTCTGTGAAAGTTAAAAGGAAAGAAGACAATAACAGACAATAACAAAAAAGAGAAAAACAAGACAAGAGGAAAGTCAATAAATGATTTCAGCAACTACAAAACCTGCTGGTTTCAGGAGGAGTTGCCATAATAATATAAAGTAATCATACACTTATCTTTTTCTAATGAGTTTACAGCATTTGCTATTTCGTCCTTCGTCTCTTCACTGAAAGTTAAATAAAGATAATAACAAAAAATTAAATAAATAAGAGTTACTGATCAGAGTTCTGATACAGTCATAGAATAAATATGTGTCTACTTATCTTTTAAAATCGGTCATTGTTCTTGTTTTCTCCATTCTCTCTGAAAGGCAGACAGCAGATGAAGAAAAGTAAGTTAAACAGCAAAGTAGACAGAACAAGTACCTCTCAGGATATCTCATAATGTGTGCATTTCTACTGGACATCTGTCCCAATGTTTCTCATAAGAATCGAATAACTTTGCCACCAAGCAACAGTGAATCATACCAAGAAAAATCTGAGGCATCAGAGTGAAAAATAAATAAATAAAAATCACAGTCAATAATAATTTGGGACATAAAGTCTTCAAAACTAAAATAATACTGTCATTTGATGACTTCCTAATTAAAATACACAGCTGGGGGAATAAAGGCTCTGTATGCCTCCTTTTAAGCCATCTATCTACAGTGTTGGGGAGTAACGGAATACATGTACCGCCGTTACGTATTTAAAATACAAAATATGAGTAACTGTATTCCGTTACAGTTACCGTTTAAAAAGGTGGTATTCAGAATACAGTTACTTTGTTGAAATAAATGGATTACACTGCGGTACTTTCCTGTTTCATTTTGTCGCGGGTCAGGACTGTTTGGGTTTTGTTTGACAGCTACGTTCTGTTGTTCCAGGCGGCAGCGTTACGGTTGCCATGGTTACAGGGCGACGCTCTCTCTCTCTCTGCGACTGTGTGTTTCCTGGGTGAGAGAGCGCCTTTTCGTTGTTGTTGTTGTGCTAAGCTAACAGGCAGAATGCTACAAGCATAGCTCTAAAGAATGTAGCATCATGGGCAGTGTAGTCCGTGCTGCAGGGAGAATGCACTGCCATACACGTTATGTGTCTGTGAGCGCGAGGAGGGAGAAAAAGGGGAGTGGAAAGGTACGAGTTGTCATCGAGGAAAAACGGGAGCTGGAAGCATGTAAATATAATAATAACCACTGCAGCCAAGAAGAGAGCCTGACGAGCCCAGTTGTAAGTAAGCTATTAAGACTCGACTGTACACCGTGTTCGTGTTTTCCTCCGAAAACAATAAGTTCCGTTGGAGCAGCCTTTCAACGCCTCTCTCTGTCTCTCGCAAGAAAAGTTGACCCACACAACAAAGTAAAGCTATTTTTCGGCTACGAGCCGACAGGGACCCCGCCGTATTAGTCAGAGGTCCCTTTACTACAGTTCGGAGTCGCGGACCTTCAGTAACAGTAATAAATCACACAGCAATAGTACATTCACGTTGTTGTAAAAAGCATGATAATATATTAAGTAATCTAAAGTATTCAGAATACGTTACTGTCATTGAGTAACGTAACGGAATACGTTACAGAATACATTTTGGGGCATGTATTCTGTAATGGAATACATTTTAAAAGTAACTTTCCCAACACTGTCTATCTATGTATGTTAACTGGCACAGGTCAGTAACAGGCCGGGTGTAAAAAGAGCATCTTAAGCTGGGAGATTTTGTCAGGCATAAAGATGAACAGAGGGTCACCAATCTGCAAAAATAAAAAAACGAGAAACCAAACAAACAAACAAATAAAAACTGCATCTACAAATTGTGGAACGACTTCAGAATAATGCAGAGAATCAATATTGGATGGCTGTGGGTTTGGCAGTACTGCATTAAAAACGAGCATTGATCTTTGTCCCCGTCTGGTGGAAACTAGTTCCTCTGCCCTTGCTCCTTGATGGCTGGAAGTATCATTTACTTACTTAGACTTATTCGTCACGATCACATGACTCTGGTCTTGCAGAGAGAGCAATGCGTCCTCCGGAGTTGCGAGGGGCGCTCTTGTTTCTGTCAGAGAACGGAAGTGAGCTACACTCAGTAAGCTTGGGTTACGGCAGCTTCTGCAACCTGTGTCAAAACATTCTTCTGTCAAGTGATGACCATGTGACAGCAATTAAACTTCCGTTAAAATTATTTCCTGTGAAAATAAAAGCACTGAAAACGCAAACAAACGACTACCATTCAAGAAATAGTTTTATAAGTGTACTTTATTTTCTTTTATATATGTATTTTCTTCCCATCACTACCCATCCGTAAAACGTTGGGGTTTTTTGGTATAGCTTACTCATTTGATTCAACTTATTGTTGTTTGTTCAAAAATATCATATAAATCGTTTTTGAATTAAATATATCATTATAATGTAATTTATTACTATAGAATACTTGGCATGACTCAGTCCCTGCGATCAACATAATACTTGTAATTGTTTCGCGAACATGAAAAAAAATGCACTTTTCGTTTTTTAAGGGCTAATTACTTAAAAAATAAAATAAAATGAAATGAAAAAATAAATGACAAACGTAATAACCCTTATTTTGAAATTATCCATACCGGAACGTGAAAGATTATTACTGCGGGACAAGTTTGTACGGAACTAAACGCCACAGTTAGCTATTAATTTGCTCTTAAAATATGTTTCTTTAGAGCACGTATGTATAAATTCAGATAATTTGAAAGAAAAAGATTTAATTATTTGAAGAAATCTGTGGGAAAAATAAGTACTTGCAGTAGAATTTATGTTAAAAGTTGGAACCGGTGTAACGAGGATTTGTGTCGAATAGACGAAAGATGATCTAAGGTAGGGAAACGTCTGCTTATTTCACGACACGTTTCCAGAATTAAAATAATGTCGGTTTACATTTGCGCATGTGCGCGCCACAAGAGCAGGCCTAAATATAAGACTACGTTTTTTTATTACAAACCTCTCGGCATTTACTTTTTATTTTTTTATTTTTATACTTGTCAGTGAACTAATTGATTAACAGTAACTAAATGTTAATTGCTTGTTTTAAATAAACCACCGCCAAAAAGCCAAAGTGAGTCAACACATTTTTGACAGAATACCAGTTATTTAATCATACGCACCAAGAAAGAGAGAAAATTCATATTTAGTTCATAATTGACAGACCATTGTGAACTTGCCATTTAAATTTACAGTATTTAATGAAACATTTTAACTTACTATTGTTCAGTATGTACCTGCATTTTCTTGGATATCATTTATTACAACAAAACGTTATCATGTACTCATATTTTCCTATAGTGATGTCTTTAATTGACTTCTTCTGTCCAAAATACAGACCAAAAATTGATTTCAATTGATTTGTCATCACAGAAGGCAAAGCTTGTAATTGCAATAATATTTTGTGATTGTTAAAGTTTTAAATCACCTTTCTTAACCTCTCTGTCTTTGTTTCCCACTTTTCCACCTGCAGATGCCCTCTTATGCCTTTCTGGATTGTTTGGAGCATTATTTACTGACAGGAAAGTTTCAAGTAAATACATCAAAAAGCTGGAAAAAGCTTCTCTCTAAAGATAGCAAAAAGTTTACATACAAAGGTACAGTAGATGTTACACACACAAAAACAGTTCTCAATGTTTGGCAGCATCAAACAAAATGTTTGTATGGTGTTGAAGAGACATTAATTGAAGTTTAGCCAGCGCTGTGACCCTGTGCTCAGTTTGGTGTAATACCTATATTGACCACAAGATGGTGCTTTGCTGCGAGAACTACTACTACTACTGTTGTGACTAAAATTTATATATAATTCATTGTGCTACATTTAGGTGGAAGTAAAATTTCTGATATGTTTTTAGATCATTTTAAGTTGAAATTTTGAATAGCTAGTTAAATATTAAAATGTATGGATTGAAAACCATTGAACCATTGCCACAAAAGTTGTTCCAGTAACGTCACATCTTCAGAATCTATGAATTACCCAATGTTCATACACCCATGAACATTTTGTAGATCACCTGGATAATGCATGAGAGAAAGCACTGCACTGAATATAGCCTTTCAGTCACTTATTAGGAATGTTGCTGAATGCTCAAACCTCCAGATGGCTGTTTGTGGCGGTCTTATCGAGGCCGCCTCCTCCGTGTCGTTAGGAGTGACGAAGAAATACGTGAGATCCTGATACAATACCACAATAACAACAACCATGCGCGCCGGGAACGGGCAGTAAGGGAAATAATGGTGAGTTTAAATGAGGTGTGTTCTTTAAGTCACCAAAATGGTTCAAATTAAGGCTATTCATAGAAAAGTGTTTTAAATCTTGTCCATCCAGCTGATGTATTACTGGGTTGGAGTGACTGCGGCCGTGAAGAACTGGATAAAGGCTTGTGACGTTTGCCAGAATCAACCTACTAAAGAGCTAGCTAATCTGCGCGTCCAGTTTTGCCTGGTTTATGGTTGTGATTCTTCCAGTTACATACACCCTGAGACCACCTTCCACAGGTCAGGTTTACATGTTTTTTTTATTTGTTTGTTTGCTTTAAGTTAAAAACAACAAAAAAAGCCTTTTTTTTTTTTTCTTGGTAAAGTTTGTTCTGATTATCAGCCAAAAATATTGTGTTCTTGATGCTTGGTGTTACACACTGGGCCCAATTGTCTCAGATCTAAAACAAAAAAATTGTATTTTGCACAAAGAATGATTGAATAACTAAAACAGAACTTACCATTCATGTTGTAATAATATGTGAATGACAGGTTGCCATAATTTGCCGTAATTTGTGTTATGTGTGTATAAATTGACAAATAAGAACTTTTTCCAGTCAATACACATTTTAAAGATATGAAGATGTGAGAGAGATCTAGAGATAAAGTCAGCCAGAAGAGGTCAGATTTCAGGCAGTTCTTTTCATATGTAATGTTTTAACCGCGGGGAGGATTTTAATTTCCCAAGAGACATGGTATTAAGCATGCTAAGAAAATAACTGATTTGTTTGGCACTTTTTAAATTACAAGCAGAGATAGCAGAGGGCTAATAAAGCTTACTTAGAACTATAGTGGACCTTAAATGGAGCCTTGTGGTACACCACAGGCAGACTTAGCTTTTGTTCAGCTTTCTCTGTAAGTTCTCCAAAGCAAAACTGGCCTTTGTGCATCTGCAGGTTTCCAAAGGACCCCGAGCAGCGGCAGAAATGGCTGACAGTTGCGCAGAGGGATGAAGGCTCGCTGCGCTCAAACTCCTACATCTGCTCCCGACACTTTGACCCATCCTGCTATACCCTGAATGAGGACGGTCAGCCGACACTATCATCAGATGCTGTACCCAGCATCATGCCCGATGAGGAGGTGACACAAAAGACTGAGAGCACATTAAAAACATGTCAATTGTAATTAGCAAGTCTGCGGATTTACTTTTGGGGTTTTTTTTTTACTCACTTCATTCTTCTTAGTGTTTGGACCTGCATATTTACTCATTTCATTACAAAATTTGCAGTGCTTTCAGAAACTTTAACAGAATTAGGCAATAGTGCTTTTTTCCCATCCAGTCCTGCAGAAGCGTACTAAGAGTGTGGACTTGAGTTAGTTCTCAGAGCTGATCAGGTAAACCTATGTGCCTTTCAGGTGCCCATTCCTTCAGATGAGGAAGTCCTGCTTTCCAACACGCTGGAAGACCTCATCTCTGCAGCTGCTGCTAATACCGAAACCGAAACGCCCCCTCATCCAGCCACTGATCAGTCGGAAACCCCTATGGAGCTGCAGGAACACCAGTACTGCTCGTCAGCTCCAGACTCCACCGCAGTCCAGACAGTGAAGGAGCACACAAGGAGGAAGACTGTCATTGAGCCAACTTTCACCACGTACAACCATGTCGTCAGGTATGTGTTTGATGACACGAAAACTTCACACCCATGTGACGCATGTTCGTTTAAATTAGCATGTTTTCTTTTGCATACTTTAGATATCTGAGCCACAGGATTTTACCAACGCAAAGCAAGAAAAATAGAAGTGCCTTAAAAAGGATGGCCAAGCGCTTTGGCCTAATAGGTGAGTGGAAAGGGTTTTAAACACAACAAGCAATACTCATTTTTATTTGACTGCTTCAGTGCTCTAAAGGAACACATTAAATCATTTATAAAGGTGCTGAAATGTTCATAGTCAAACTTTAGAAATATGTCTTTTCTTTTTAAGATGGAGTGCTGATGTACACACGGGCTTCTCGACCTCTCAGCGTGCCACGCAGCAGAGAGGAGGTAATTGCTAGCTTACAGATTTCAAATGAAGACCTTTTGTGCTGGTGGTCAGTGGTCAGCGGAGGAAACACTTTGTTTTATGACAGTTTACGCCTTATTATAACACATCTAGACGTGTTAATTTCAGAGACTAAACACAACTGGTTAAAACCATCAACTAATCTGTATCTTTACATCACTGAGGAGAGGATAATGGCATCTTAAAACTCTTTAAAAAATACTTTAAGGAGAAGAGATTTTCACTTTAAGTACAGGTTATATTCTTTATTTAGTTCTTGCAGAAGCTAACAACAATGAAAATTCGTTCAGCAGTTATAAATGGAATCAAACAAAACAATCAGCCATTAATTTCATCTGACCCTCATCACTTCATCTGCTGCTCTTCTCATGACCCTCTGAGATTGTGTGAGCTGGCAGGTCCCCGTTTTCTGCAGGTTGTGGTCCTGTATGGGCCAGCTCCGACTCATAGTCAGACCACATCAGGATCCTCTTCAGTTTGCGTTGACAACGCCACCATCTACCTGCTCAATCGTGTCTGCACCCATCCGTACTAGCCAGCGAGCACTGCGAGGGTCATGTTTTTTAACTTTTCCAGTGCATTCAACCCCATGAGGCCAAACCTCCTGGGTGACATGCTGACAATGATGCAGGTGGATGCTTCTCTGGTGTCTAAGAGGCAGATGTTGTCCAGGATAAAGACAATGCTGGACAATCAGTGTTGGGAAGGTTACTTTTAAAATGTATTCCATTACAGAATACAGAATACATGCCCCAAAATGTATTCTGTAACGTATTCCGTTACGTTACTCAATGACAGTAACGTATTCTGAATACTTCGGATTACTTAACATATTATCATGCTTTTTACAACAACGTGAATGTACTATTGCTGTGTGATTTATTACTGTTACTGAAGGTCCGCGGCTCCAAACCGTAGTAAAGGGACCTCTGAATAATATGGGTTCGTGTCGGGCTCGTAGCCGAAAAATAGCTCTACTTTGTTGTGTGGGTCAACTCTGCTTGCGAGAGACAGAGAGAGGCGTTGAAAGGCTGCTCCAACGGAACTTATTGTTTCGGAAAACATGAACAAAGCGTACAGAGTTTTAATAGCTTACTTACAACTGGGCTCGTCAGGCACTCTTCTTGGCTGCAGTGGTTATTATTATATTTACATGCTTCCAGCTCCCGTTTTTCCTCGATGACAACTCGTACCTTTCCACTTCACTTTTTCTCCCACCTCGCACTCACAGACACATAACGAGTATGGCAGTCCATTCTCCCTGCAGCACGGACTACACTGCCCATGATGCTACATTCTGCATTTTGAGCACAACAAAAAGCCGCTCTCTCACTCAGGAAACACGCAGAGCGAGAGGGTCACCCTGTAACCATAGCAACCACAACGCTGCCGCCTGGAACTACTGTCAAACAAAACCGAAACAGTCCTGACCCGCCACAATATGAAACAGGAAAGTACCGCCATGTAATCCATTTATTTCAACAAAGTAACTGTATTCTGAATACCACCTTTTTAAACGGTACCTGTAACGGAATACAGTTACTCATATTTTGTATTTTAAATACGTAACGGCGGTACATGTATTCCGTTACTCCCCAACACTGTGGACAATACCTCCCACCCACTCCATGACGTGCTGGCTGGAACACATTCAGTGAGAGACTGAGATTACCAAAAAGCACCACTGAACGACACAGGAAATCATTCCTGCCTGTGGCCATCTCCCTGTACAACTCCTCCATCTAATACACTGTAAACACTGCAATAGTTACACTCTTTTTGCACATGCTCTTTTCTACTCTGTAATATTCTTGTGAGTTATTGATATTTATTTATAATGATCTCTGTTACTTCTTGATATTTATAATTGAGTGATTTGTATATATTAGCGCTATCTTTTTAAATTAGTAAAATCTGTAACATACTGTATTGTTTAAATGGCTTAGTCTGTTACTGTTACTGCCTTGGAGCAACCGTAACCCACATAATTTCCTCGGGGATTAATAAAGTATTCTGATTCTGTATGGGCCACTTGGTTCTGTCACCTTTGCACCTGGAGCACTACACCAATGTCCTTTTTGCAGTGAGCATTAAGGTGTCTTCGTGTTGTTGGAGGAAGCCTCCTAAGAGCTCCAAAATCCAGGATTTTTTAAATACTGTTAACATCTCTATTTGCACATCTTTCCTCAGCCCATGCCTCAACTATTACTCAGACTGACATTGCATGATCACATAAGTCTTATGTGATCTGTAATTTGCATAATGGTCTTACAAATACTATTAAATATCCAACCATGCTTTGCTAACCAACTGTGCTTCCTTTTGATCCCAGGTAAACTCAATCCTGCGAGAGTTTCATGACAGCAAGGGCCACTATGGTCAGGGGGTCTGCCAGCAAGAAATTTCAAAGCACTTCCACTGGGGCAGCATGACTCGAGACCTGGCTAGTTGGATCGCCAACTGCCAAACCTGCCTTAACAGAACCAAGAGGAAGTGGATGCGCTGCAGTGTTCTTGGGTGCACAAACTGTTGTGGACCAGTAGAGAGACGCCTGGGCCTCACCTTCCACAAGTATGAATCGTTTTTTCTTGATTGTTTGCTGCTTATACTATAAAGTAAACAGAGAAACACAGAATTAATTAATGAAAAAATAATAGTCCTAAAACCTTTAGGACTTCTGCGATAAAACATACGGTGTTCGCTCCTGTTCTGGTGAGAGTTTAGTGTGCAGATTATGCTTTATTTTTGCTCATTTCTGTTATTTTATCATGAATGTGATGTCACAAAGGCAGATGTTATCCCTCTAAGTTAAAAGATCAGGCGTTTAAGCTAACTGCTGGGTCAGCAATGTTTTTATTTCATACTTATATGTTGAGCTGTTTTTTTTAAATAGGTTTATCTGCTACAGCTAAAGTACATGCACAGAGTATACAGAGTTTTGCTTATGTTTATACCAAGTGCATTTGGAAGATGGTCGATCAGAAAATTAAACTGGGTTTTAGAGAAGTTGTTATTGATAAGCTGCTGCTTTTGTTTTAGCTATAAGATGAACCTGCCCTGAGCCAGAATAAGATAATTTAGTTTGTGTTTTTGAAATTTGAAGCATGGAGAACATAATAGAACCATTTTAACCACTTCTATATCTTACTTTGTTCTTGAAAGGACAAAAAACCCCAATAAATATTAGTTTTTGTGCTATAGGTTTTGGACCATTATACATTAGAAATCAGTAATGGTGCATTTGACTGAATATAATTGGTACACTTAAGAATTGATGTTGCTTTTGCAGCACAAGGATGCCCAAATATTGTTCAGGGAAGGTTTGAAGAGCACAATAGCTTTGAGGTGTTGACTTGGTCTCCAGATTCAATCAATCCAACCAAGCATCTGTGGGATGTGCTGGACAAACAAGTCGGATCCGTGGAGGGCTCACCTTAAAACTTACAGCACTTAAAGGATCTGCTGCTAATATCTTGATGCCAGATACCACAGCACACCTACAGGGACCTAGTGGAGTCCATGCCTTGATGAGCCAGAGCTGTCTTGGCAGCAAAAGGGGTACCAACACTTTGTTAGACAGGTGGTCATATTGTTATGCCTGATCGGTGTACTCTGACAGCTTCTTGGCTACTTAATGCCATACCCCAAATAAGGCTAAAGGCCTGCCCTTAAACCCATATTAATCATGTAGCTGTGACTTCAATGTGCTTTGGTAAAGTGTGCGTACTTCTTCATCATTAATATTTTACCCTAGGTTTCCTCTTCACAATGCAACTCTGTTGGCAAAGTGGTTGAAGGCTACCGGCCGTCCAAACTGGCATCCTCGGCTCCGGTCTTCCATTTGTTCGATACATTTCACTGACGACTGTTTCAGCCATAGTGGGGAGGTCATCACCCTAAATCCAGATGCTGTGCCTGCACTCTCGGTCCACACGGACTCCGCAGTGAGCATCACAGTTACTTAGTATTATTAATGCAACAGTGTCACAATTCTAATAACTGATCTGTTTCCTCCAAAGGTCCCATCCAGAGGGGCGAGCCAGTCTGCGGTGGGGGAGGAGGTATGTTTTAGATTTGTCAGGTTGACAAAATTTTATTTGCTGCAGAGATTCATGAACCATATGTATTTACATGATCTACGTCTCTGTGTTAGCAGGCCATTTTTGCCAAGTACGATGCTGTGGAGCTCTACCTTACCAAACGCACTTACCCACCTGGACTGAACTATGTAGAAAAGAACACCTTTAGGAGGTTCTGCAAGAAGTTTGCCATTAAAGGTTCGTACAAATCTGTGTGTTCAAAACTCCTAAAAACAAAATACTAATAATGCCTGTGTAGTGCATTTTCCATGATAAAACACAGGCATGCAGGTATGCATAACAAAGGAGTTTTAATTTCAATATTATTTAGGAAAAGAATGTAAATATTTTATACTATGCACTGCTGGGAACACAAACTTTAAAAAGGGTGGTGGGAAAAAACTCCTTAATAAAAATAGAACCCATTATGCTAATGTACAGCTTCAGATTTCTGTTCTTCATCTTTGTATGAGTCATATTTTAAATTAGAGCCCTGCGACAGACTGGCGACCTGTCCAGGGTGTACCCCGCCTCTCGCCCCATGACAGCTGGGATAGGCTCCAGCTCCAGCAAAAATCCAAAATAATGATACAATATACACAATGGCACTTGTGCCTCTGCTCAAACATAACTGGAAAGACAAAGGTGTCAATTAGTGTGTTTCACACTGTGCTGTAACATTTACCCTACCACTGCTTTCCCAGACGGTGTTCTTCATACGGTGAAGGGAGACCAAATGCGTTTGGTTCTGAGGAACAGGCAGCAGGTTGAAACCGCGCTGGTGGACTATCACAACGAGCTCAACCACCTCGACGTCAACAAGTGTCTCAGACTGCTGAATGAGAGGTTTCCCCTCGCGCTGTTTCTCGTTAGTGACACGTTTCAGTCAGAATCATCAACACGGTCTCAGGTTTTGAACTTTCTTACAGATACTTCTGGAGAACCATGAGGCCTGATGTTGTGCAGTGGATCAACAACTGCTCTCAGTGCAGCATGAAGAAGACGAAGAAACCGAATCACCAAGCAGAGGCGAGAGGTTTAGCGGTTCAGACATCAGCTCAACTACAGGAACTGACATCTCACGACTTAGACAGGTAATTTCTATCTTAGTATCTAAAAGTACTAGTGAACTGTTGATATGGTTTCCCCATTTTTATGTCTAATATCTACCTGCTCTTCTCTCTCTGTCTGCATGTTGGCAGTGCGAATGATGAGGATACTGATAGTGATGGTGATGCAGAGGAGCAGCTGACAGTGAATTCCAAGGACACAGTGGTGGGTTTGCCAAAGCTTTAGCTCCTTGAACCACCTTTTGCTGCAATTACAGCTGCCAGTCTTTTAGGTTTGTCTCTACCAGCTTTGCACATCTAGAGACTGAAACTCTTGCCCATTCTTCTTTGCAAAACAGCTCCAGCTCAGTCAGATTAGATGGACAGCGTTTGTGAACAGCAGTTTTCAGATCAGATTCTGGATTGGATTTAGATCTGGACTTTGACTGGGCCGTTCTAACACATGGATATGTTTTGTTTTAAACCATTCCATTGTTGCCCTGGCTTTATGTTTAGGGTCGTTGTCCTGCTGGAAGGGGAACCTCCGCCCCAGTCTCAAGTCTTTTGCAGACTCCAAGAGGTTTTCTTCCAAGACTGCCCTGTATTTGGCTCCATCCATCTTCCCATCAACTCTGACCAGCTTCCCTGTCCCTGCTGAAGAGAAGCCCCCCCAGAGCATGATGCTGCCACCACCATATCTGACAGTGGGGATGGTGTGTTCAGAGTGATGTGCAGTGTTAGTTTTCTGCCACACATAGCATTTTGCATTTTGGCCAAAAAGTTCCATTTTGGTCTCATCTGACCAGAGCAGCTTCTTCCACATGTTTGCTGTGTCCCCCACATGGCTTGTGGCAAACTGCAAACGGGACTTCCTATGAATTTCTGTTAACAATGGCTTTCTTCTTGCCACTCTTCCATAAAGGCCAACTTTGTGCAGTGCACGACTAATAGCTGTCCTATGGACAGATTCCCCCACCTGAGCTGTAGATCTCTGCAGCTCGTCCAGAGTCACCATGGGCCTCTTGGCTGCATTTCTGATCAGCGCTCTCCTTGTTCGGCCTGTGAGTTTAGGTGGACGGCCTTGTCTTGGTAGGTTTACAGTTGTGCCATACTCCTTCCATTTCTGAATGATCGCTTGAACAGCCCTCCGTGGGATGTTCAAGGCTTGGGAAATCTTTTTGTAGCCTAAGCCTGCTTTAAATTTCTCAGTAACTTTATCCCTGACCTGTCTGGTGTCTAAATCCAATCCAGAATCTGTGGCAAGATCTGAAAACTGCTGTTCACAAACGCTGTCCATCTAATCTGACTGAGCTGGAGCTGTTTTGCAAAGAAGAATGGGCAAGAGTTTCAGTCTCTAGATGTGCAAAGCTGGTAGAGACAAACCTAAAAGATTGGCAGCTGTAATTGCAGCAAAAGGTGGTTCTACAAAGTATTGACTTAGGGGGCCAAATAATTACGCACACCCCACTTTGCAGTTATTTATTTGTAAAAAATGTTTGGAATCATGTATGATTTTCGTTCCACTTCTCACGTGTGCACCACTTTGTGTTGGTCTTTCGCGTGGAATTCCAATAAAACTGATTCATGTTTGTGGCTGTAATGTGACAAAATGTGGAAAAGTTCAAGGGGGCCGAATACTTTTGCAAGCCACTCTATTTATGGTGGTTGATTTTTTTGTGTGTTTATTTCAACATCCATTTGGATATTGGTAGCTTTTGGGTCCAAAAAAACACAACAACACAGTGGCAGTCAAAATGCTCATATAGGAAGCAATTTCGTGACATCATCAGTCTCCTATGCCTGGTACAAACATTTTTATTAAAAAAAAAGAAGAAAAATAATCTGTCAGCTTGTCTTGGGATCCAAGTTTTTCTTGTGTTGGAGCTGTTCAGTTGTTGGGCTGCTTCAAGCTAATTGGCCTTTCCATCCAGCAATCACTGGATAAAAATCAGAAACCTCATAAAAGATGAGTACGGCACTCAAAAATCTTGATTTGATAATTCTGCAGCAGTTCGTTGAAGAAATTCTAGAGGAAAAAGAAGCTGTTCTAAAAATCTCAGACAAGATCAAATCTGTCGCTGGTCAGCTTTTCTGAAAATCTTGTGAATGTGATAACTTAAGAACGAGCCAGCGTAGGATTTTGAAATTGATACCATTGGTGTATCTGCTAGGAGGCTGAGGGCTAGCACTGGCAGCTGGCAGTATTTTTTAATTAAGATTAGACAGATGATTCTATGCATGCACATTTTATGAAACAGAAGTTACTTAGATACCAGAGCTCAGATAAATGGCTGCAGGTAGCACGAGTTGTTTCTAGAAGAACGAAACAGTAACAGTTCAGCCTCTAGTAAAGAACTAGCTCATGCTCTGCCACCTCCTTAATTATGTTGTATGTAAGTTGTGAAGTTGAACTGACTTTGTCTCCCATCTCACTTGTAGGATGAACCTTCTTCCAGTTTGTCCTCCCAGACTGAAATTCACGATAATCCTCAGCCCAAAATTCCCATCCTCCTTCACCTGAAAAATCCCATCAACTTACAGCCCAGGTCTCCCAAAATCCCCTCTGTCACAAAGCTCTTGTCTATGAAGAGAATGACTTCTTCGCATTTTGAAATACATAAGGATCCTGAAAGCTCTAAGAAGCAAAAAAGGATAGAGAATCCGATAAATCCCCAGCCAGAGAAGCCTGCGCAGCCTCAAGAACAGGAAAAAACAAGTAGCCCTCTGGGCAACAATGGGACACAACACTGCATCCAAGCACAGCTTGTTTTAGAGCAGCATGCTCCACTGCAGCACATTCAGGCTCCAAGTCAAAAAAGTCCTCCAGAGGCACATCTGTCAACACAAATCCAAAGTCATTGCAGTGTCCAGCGCACAGTGAAGAAGAAAAGAGGCCCAGAGGCAGATTCTTCAGCTAAATGGAGCTCTAGCAGTGGTCTGGAGCCTGTGATGGCCCTGAGCACCAAACCCTGGCCTGTCTTTACCATCGGTAGCTCTGCTGTGGAAAAAACTGCAAAACCCTCGCCTAATGCTGACAGGTGCAGTACAAAATATCAGTCTTTTTATACCTATTTTCATTATTTCATATTCTGATTTTGCTGGCAGGTGGTGTTTGTCAGTGGTTTAATGGGTTTGTCGTCTGTTTTTGTGTGTCCGAGCAGCTCAGCTGTTTTTTATAGGCCCATCAGGCTTCAGGCCCGAACTGTCATTCAGCAGTGTAGTCACGCAAAGATTAAGCTCAAACCTGCTGTGGATGGAGCAGATGCTCAGTGGGCAGAGGTGGGTGCGTTTGTTTTTCAATGTATTTTATTTAATTAAGTATTTGTCTTGTCGTGGAAATGTAATAATCATGTCCTGCTGCCCCCTGCTTTGGATTTTGGTGTACTTTTATCATACATTTGATTAATACAGTACGTTATATTTTGTGTGATGGTTTATTAACAGTTACTGGATTAATTTAATCAGTTCTCATAAAACTACTGTATTTAAATCAGTCTAGTCACACACTGTTCGGTGAGTATAACCCAATCGCGTGTGGATATTGAGGTTTATGACTACTCAAACCTTTTCCATGTTCAGAAAGGATATACAGTGTAACAGGCTGAAGGACGAGGCATAATGTGGCACTTTATTCTCATAATTAATGAAATGTAAATGCTTACTTGAGGTTAACAAAACATTAATGCGTGAGACTTTCTCTGTTTTTATGTGCGATCCTGTAAAGTACCCAATTAATTATTATTGTTTCCATGCTGTGCCTCCTTCTCCTTAGATTCAGCAGGGATTGGTTGTCTATGTGTGTTTCTTTCATGGAGCCACTGAAGATGTGACAAATGAGATGGGTGAGTTACTGCTGCACATGTTAGCTGACTCACAGTAGCTAATAACCAGAAAACGGTAATAGCAGCTTAGACAAATGAATTTAAATTAACTACTGAAAGTTGCTCACCTTAAATTTTTTAGAGATCCAGAAATTGGTCTTTGAGCCAAAGTGGGGGGAAAAAAAAGTGTCAAACAGCACTTTGAAAAAACCCCCACAAAACATGTAAAAGTTATCCAAACAACTCAAACACAGTATGTACGCTCACTGCTCTTATCAGCTAAGAAAAGGAAACTCGGGCTACAGTTCACACAGGCTGATCAAATTTAGACAACAGAAGACTGTAAAAGCATTGCCTGGTCTGATGAGTTTTTCTGCTGTGACATTCTGACAGTAAACAACATGAAAGTGTGGATCCTGCAGGTTGGTGTGGGTGGTGCATGCGTGAGTGTAGGATATTTATCTTGGCACACTCTGAGCTGCTTGGTACCAACTGAGTGTTGTTTAAACACCACAGCCAACCTGAGTATTATTGTTGACCATGTCCATCCTTTAGTGATCACGCTTTACTCATCACCTGATGAGTAAAGCGTGATCATGTGCGATTGTGTTATGTCACAAAGCTCGGATCATCTTAAATTGGTATCTTGAACATAGCATTGAGTTCATTGGATGAGGTGGAACTGGAGATTCATGTTATGGATCAGCTGCAGCTGTGTGATGCTTGCATGCAAATATGAACCAAAATCTGTGAGGAATGTTTCCAGCACCTTCCTGAATTTATGCTAAGAATTAATCCAGGTCTGAAGGCAAAGGGGGATCCAAGCAAGGTGGACATAATATGAATTTAAGGGGTAATCTTATGTTAACAGGATGATAAATTTATGTATAACTAAACGTAACAGTCAAACAGATTTCCATCTTGTGGCCTAAGGCTTTGTCCGTTTTCCACCGTGTCCTCAACAGCCAACACTCTGATGACTACCAGGCTTTTCCGGAAACATTCCGGGCATTGTGTGTCCCTCCTGGATCTTCCTGGAAGTATTTTATTTGTCCCCCAAGACTCCCTGCTTGGGAAGCCAGCACCCAACAGAAGGATGCAGTACAAGGGTGGATGTGAGCTGTGGTGGGGTGCTCAGCTCTTCTCAAGTCTGGTCTCCGCCTGCAGAGAACTCATGACAGGTTCAGCGAAGTGCACAAATGCAGGTGTAAAGGTAGAACATGGACTCTATGGACGGAAACAAGAAATCGCCCTGAACTCTGTGGAGCCGCAATCTGTGCTCCTGGAGTTCTGAGGTACATCTTAACATCAGTGTGGGACATTCAGTACTTCATCTGGGCTTTCTTCCATCCCTCATGTAAAGGTTAAACTAGTGTTGTGGAATTTTCCTGTTAATAAAATCTGCAACAAGGTCAGCTGTGGTCAAGCTATTTTAATTACTGCATGAAGGAGAGACAACACATCAAATATCACAGTTCTGCAGAATCTTGACTAAAATACTCAAAACAGTTGGAAGTTCTATATCAATTTTTTAGGACTCTTCCATATTGTATAAATCACAGGAAAAAAAATGTTCTAATGAATTTTTATTCATCCATAAAAGTAAAACACTCAGCAAAGAAATGTAACATTAACCCTGTTGAACAAAGGAGTTTTTAAAACGAACCCTTCTGCATTTCTTGCTACATTCAAATTGTAAAGCTAAAAAAAATAAAATAAAAATCTGCAGACATTTAGAAAAATGTTGCTCTTCAGAAATAACTGTAGGGCTTGTTGAAAAGCAATAAATGAATAAGAAATAATTAGCTTACACAACCTGAAAGCTCAAATATTGCAATGATCAATTTGAAATCAAAAAAATTAAGTCACCTGGACGTAACAATAATGGACGTAACAATAATGCGTTTTTGCAGTAACACAGAAGCCGTTTCTGGTCCTGACATTTCATTGTAATGGTTTCAAAACAAAAATATTTTGACCACTAGACAACTTTGATCCTGAGGTTTTTGTCCTCTTACCCAGTTTAATTTTTTCTGTCAAGGACACAAAGATCTAAGTTATTAAAATAATGAACCTATTTTAGAGTCTTTTCAGCTCTTCAAACTATCTTTAATTTTTCATCCAGAAAGCAAAACTCAGATGACCCAACAGCTAAACGTTTGCCTCTGACAGATGTGTCAGACACACAGGCTGATCCCAGCACAACTCTGTTTAAGAAAGAACCTTTTAAGGAGTTTTCAACGTAAACTGCCTTCTCAAAACATGACTTGCTGCTACTGTTCTTCATGTGTTACATTACGTAAACAGTACTGTCAGATCTTACAGAACAAAACAGGCTACTTGAATCAGTCACTTTGGGAACTGGAATAAACTGACAGATCTGATTATTTAAGAGCTTCTTATGTCTTTAAAGACCATGCCTGAGCATGTAAGGCATCGTTTAACAATGCACATAACTAACGTATTTTGTTTGTGGGTTGCACCATTTTACAAACCAGCCAGACATAACATGATGCAACTGCTACTCTGCTCTTCTGTTTGTTGCCAAAAAAAAAAAAAAAAGTGTCACATTTCGGCCTATTTATTAGCTTTATGACCGAGAAGACCTTCAGTACTCCTGATCCATGGCTGCCTTCATATGCCTTCAGACAACGGGTGGCTCTTACCTCAGGTCTTCTTGACACTGCTCATTCTGATGCAGTGCTTTTGGGAAGAAAAATAACTTAATTCCCACATTTCTGCCTCGCACCCGTTCAGTCTCCTTCCCACACACAGTCACATTCACGCAGTGGGTTCCTTTGCCGCATCGTTGTTATGACCGTGATCCTGTTCTCAGACAGCTCCTGCAGCTCACTGATCAGCTCCTGCACAGATGGGCTCGGCCAAGGGTGCCCGTTGAGGTAATCTCGGAGGATGAACGAACGCTCCACGATCAGCTCCAGCCGCACCAGGTGTCGCAGCTTGTGGAGGCTCAGCAGGTCTTTCTCTGGTTCCCGGCGGAAAAATCTGCAGGAAACAGGACAGGACTCGTTAACGTACCTCAAGAGCAGGTTCACAATATCTTATAGGACTGTAGTAAGGTCATTTTCTTGTTTGCTTGTTGAAACGTCTTTAAACAGTAAATGGACTGGTACTTAAATAGCACCTTTCTTCTCCAGCTGAGAACTCAAAGCTCTCATTCACCCAATCGAACACACACACATCCATACAAGTGCTTTTCTATGCCCAGGCGCCTTAATCCAACATCTCTTACACACGCACACATCCTGATTAAGGCATCAAAGCAACTCATGGTTCAGATTCTTGCCCAATGGAAATCTGACCACTGACTTTCTGATTGGAAGACAATCCACATCCTGAGCCACTGCCACCCTCATTTACTTATTAATAGGTCTATTGTAGGTCTTTGGGTCATGTGGACCTCATACCCTGTTATACAGATACTAAAAAAAAAAAAGAAAAAGAAGGCCTGCAGCTTTAAAAAACAAAAAACAAAACAGGAAACAATTTTTTCCAGGAAAAAACAAACAAACTTATAGTTAATTTAAAATAGCTGATGCCAACTGAGCAGTTGTAGGGGGGACTTCCCGATGGACACAAGAAACAACTTGCACAAATCAAACTGCCACATCCGATCACCACTGAACGGACTAAGATTTCATCATGTATGGATGCTTTAGTGCCCTGTATATTTTGAGGCAGGTTATATAGAAGAGAAGTGCACATTTAAACAATCAGCATTTCTTAAATGACTGATTAATGCTTATTTTCATTTTTAATTAACAGTAGTTTGTGGAGACCTCTTCACTGGGATTTTATCCAAATCTTCCCTTACTTAGATCATTACATTTCTTGAAACATAATTTTATTACAGGGATTAGACATTTTAAAAAAACAAAAAGAACAAACTGTTCATTCACTGCAGAAAGCTGTCCCCACAGATTAGTTCCCTGCAAAATCTTGAAATGACCAAATTTATCCAAAGAATTTTGGGTAACCCAAATTTTCATTATCTGATGGGATAATCTGTTAGTTGAAAATGAATCTAAAATGTTTTATAACTGAATACTTGTTTTTAGCCATTCTTAAGGAAAAACCTAATGTTCTCAAATGAGAAGACATTATGCTTTACTTTATGATAAATAATACAGTCTGATCAACATTCTCCTGCTTAGACTGCCAGGCAGAAAAACTAGGATGAACTAAGGCTCACCGTATCCTGAGTGTCTTGAGTTGAGGAAACAGCATAGGGATCCGTCTGCAGAGACTGCCACTGGAGCGGTTCTGTTCAATGTCAAGGTGCTCCAGTCCTGGGACTTTAGGTGCAATAGAGTCCATGTCTTTCAGCGTTATGGCTACTCGCAGCGTCAGCCTGGTCACACTGGGTGGGATGGTGGTGGTATAGGTAGTGAGAGAATTCCCACCTACAAGGACAGAAAGCAGCAAGTTAAGGAGAAACTTGGATTTCGGGCGATCGTGGCTCGAGAGTTGGGAGTTCATCTTGTAGTCGGAAGGTTGTCAGGTCGAGCCCCGGCTCGGACAGTCTTGGTCGTTGTGTCCTTGGGCAAGACACTTCAACTACCGCCTACTGGTGATGGCCAGAGTGGCCGATATGGCAGCCTCGCTTCTGTCAGTCTGCCCCAGGGCAGCTGTGGCTACAACTGTAGCTTGCCTCCACCAGTGTGTGAATGTGAGAGTGAATGAATAGTGGAATTGTAAAGCGCTTTGAGGGTCTCGAAAAGCTATATAAATGCAATCCATTATTATTATTATTATTATTATTTCCCCAGCCTGAGGCTCAGTTCTGCTTTGAAAACCAGGAATTAAGATGCACTGACATTGCCAAATAAACTGCATATAACGATGCAGAAAGATGCTTTTTAAACCTGCGCAAAAAATATTAGTTGCCTAACAATTATGCAGTTGTCCCAGACCAACTAAAAGAAACCCACACAAACTGCAGAACAGCAGAGTTACTCACCAATGATAGTGAGAGATTTTAAGTGTTGCAGAGGACTCAGCCAGGCCTGCAGGCGACACTCAACGCCCTCTCTGATGTACCTGTACCTGACGGCCAGCGACTCAAGAGAGGTGAGACTTCTCAGCGCATTCTCTGACAGGGTGGTTTCTGGGTAATCCACCAGTTCCAGAGTGGTCAGCACAGGGCCACCGTAGCAGAACACTGCAGGATCAAAAAGTATGTTTATTTCTATATCCTAGCACAGGGGCGTCCAACTCCAGTCCTCGAGAGCTACTGTCCTGCAGCTTTTAGATGCATCCCTACTCCAACACAGGTGAATCAAATGATTGGATTACCTCTTCAGCATGCCATCAAGTTTGGCAAAGTCCTGGTAACAAGCCATTCATTTGATTCAGGTGTGTCAGAACAAGGATGCATCTAAAAGCTACAGGACAGTGGCTCTCAAGGACTGGAGGTGGACACAGACTTTGACCACAGTGCTGCACAGCAAATAAAACCATCTGCAGTTGTAATAGTATAAAACGTTGGGAAAAAGTTGCAGCAATTAAGTAAGAAACAGAACACTGCAGTATGCAGTAAGGGAAACTTGTCTTTAGTCACTATTTGTACATGACCTAATCTGCAGCTTGGCAGCAGAAGTATTTTTCTTTTGTTTAATCATCCCTTTCAGGATATGTTAGTTTGTTGATATAGTGGCACAGCCATCTCATTATGCTGGATACTTTTTAATAAAAGCATTTACACAAACTAATCTGTTTGGCTTCATTCTTCTCCTGGTTCTTACCATTGTTGCTGCGCTCGTCCCTCTGGCCCTCGTTTGGAGACAACGCACACTGCTTAAGCTGATGCAGTGGACAATGAGGCCCACTGTGTCAAATGCAGCACCGAGATACAGTAATACTAGCACAGCAGATTGGCCATATGTATCAAAACTGCGGTGGCTGGAAAACAAATTTCTCCAACACACTAAATTAAGTCTAAAATTTGGATTTTGAGTCATTTTCCTTTCCACTGCCATGTTTAAAACAAGCTGTCCCTGTCACTAAACAAATATTTGAAATTGTCATTTGAGGTAAAGTGAACTGACCAGCAGTAGTTCGTGTGATTAGGCTAGATCGCGGATTGCATTCAAGGTTTGTCTATGTGTAAGAGTGCAGGTGCAAAGCACACTTCTACAAAAAGTTGTTTCAACCTAGACAAATTCCCAGGAACAACTCAGGGCTATGTGGCAACTTCAGCGTCGTCTGTACTGGGATTTGTAATGCTGTAACATAATGTACACTTACAAATAATAGTCATAAACATTATCCTAAACACACTGCATT